CATTTTCAGGCAAAGCGAGCCTATCTAATAGATAGATGGATAGATAGATAGATACATCCATTCCATTCCATTCCATTCCATTCCATTCCATTCCATTCCATTCCATTCCGTGACCTTCCATTGCATTCCATTCCATGCCATTCCGTTCTATTCCATAACACTGCACAACTTTACGTTGCATACATGACACATACATACATACATACATACATACATACATGCATGCCATCATGCATGCATGCACACATGCATACATGCATACACTAGTTACATACGTACATGCACGCATACAGACAGACCGATCGACCGACCGACAAACACATGCATACTCTCTCGCACATATACGTACAAACATATATATATATATATATATGTACATACATACTAATACATAGCATACTAACATAAAGCACATACATAACATACATTCTGTAAGGTTGATACACTGTACACAGTACACAACACATACATGGCATACCGCAAATACCTTTCTATACACACCTACACACACATGTACATATATTTACATATGCATCAACCCATCATTCCATCCCTGACACCCTCCCTCCCTCCTTCCATCCTTCCATCCTTCCATCCTTCCATCCTTCCATCCATCCATCCATCAATGCACACCACCTTATTCCACCTGCACTGTGGAAAATGGCTTCTCCCCTGAAGACTTTGGATTTCGGCTGCTCACTCATGTCTCCTACATGTTGTTTGGCTTCGCTTGGCATGGGCGCCGAGTTGTTGCGGCTCTACACAACGAATGTCTGTTTTGAGCTTGCTCTGTCGATCCAAGCTGTCTGGCAGATACTTGTTGCTGGGAGAAACAAGCACGCACAAACTGCTGGGATATTAAGGCGGAACTTTCCGTGACGACTTGGTGACGAAGGATTCAGGATGCAAGGGGGGTGGGCTAGTAGACACAGTCTTCGAAACCGAAAAGAGTCAAATCTTACTAAAGCTACTAGAGGAAACTTTACATCTAAAAATGCTGAACCAAACACTTATACTGAAAGTTCTCCACAAGTAAGCCTCTTAACCGGTTGCAATGGGAAGAACCAATTTTCAGCCTGCAACCATTGAAATAACTAAGGCTTTTGCAGCGGCGTTTGCCTCTCTTCGGGTTAAGGCATTTGCCTCAACCCCCCAGATACCTACTATATAGAGCCCTAGGGGCTCTAGTACCCTATATAGTAGGTACCGGCGGGGTTGGTCCTTGGCACCATGGACTTAAGCCTTAGCTGCCCGCACCTCTGGCTTGAACATCTCCCGCGCAGCTGCGCCGCAGACCTCCCCCAGCATGACGTACCTGGACCCATGGCCCCTAAAGCAGTTCCTTTTGGGGTTCATATATAGAATCCTATAAGGTAATCCCAAAAAGGAACTGTTATGGGGCCTATGGGGAGCTTGGGGAGACCCTTAAACTGCTTGGCACTGACTGGATGCTTCCAAATCCCAAACGAGGAGGATGTTCCAGATTTTGAACCTATAACCTTGCTGCGTTTGAAATCGATTTCGTCGTGGTCTGAAGGCTTGAACGATTTTTTCGGTTTCAGGGATGTGCCCGGGGGTCTAGAAGGTTCGCAGTGGTCCAGGGACTTCAGGAACTCTTGCGTTGTGGGTAAGTCAATATAAATTATGGTCTGCGTAATCCTAGACGCGAAACCCTGAACCCTAAACCTAAACCGTCTTTAAACTCCTAGAGATCAGAAACATGAGCCATGAAACTCGATGGCGAAATCAGAGAAAAGCTGAGTGCAGCGAACACCTGAAGATCATATAAGCCTCCCAAGCAACCGATTCAGCGCACCTCTCCGGGTTCTTGAAGGGATTGTGGAGGCCAGAGCGGGGGACAGCCGCCATCCGCTGGATGTAGGGCTCTATCTCATCCATGGCCGTGTTGGGCACCTAGGGTTCGGCATATGTAGGCTTTCGGACTGTTCTTGAGAGCGCACAATGTCACAAAGACTACAGTTACAAGGAGCTAAACCAAACCTCAAATTCCCATGTGGAACCTGGTTATCAGTCTCCGGACTCCTAGCATTAGCTCCTTAAAAGAAACCATCGTCATCAAAGTCTCTACAGGCAAAGGGCCTTCAGGAAGACTTCTCCGTTCAAGGGATCTACGATGTCCTGCGTGCGCTTGGCTTTGGTCCAGCTGCCACCACCTGGAATCGGAAACACCGAGTCGAAAGAGCTGCAAGAAGGGCAGGGCCTGCTGCGATTGACAACTGGGGGCTTCCGAAAATAGGGGACCCTAATATAGTACCCTAAATAGTAGGATCCTTATAAGGACCCCTAAATGGTACCCTAATTTTCGGAAACTCCCAACTGTGTACTTGAAGCACAGAGAAGAACGTCCACAGCGCAACTTCGAGTTGCTTCGGCTCTTTTGCTGGGATGCGAGTTTGAGCCATTGATCAAGGTACGCTGCAGGTGCCTTATAAAGGAAGTATGGCTAGTGTTTCGGGGGTTCCTATGGATAGAAAAAACAAGACCGAGGCAGGTACATAGGTTCATGCCCTCTGCCGGTGAAGCTGCCGACAATGTGGCAGGATCCACCTCCCAAGATTGGGATGATGAATGATCTCTCCCTCGCCGTCAAGTCAAAGCCTATACAAAACAGAAAGACAGAAACCAACAGCACCAGCTGCGGAAGCTCGTATGTACGTATATTTTAACACACATACTGATGAATGCTGTCACCGACAGGTCACATTCAAGAGAAAATGCTTTAAGGAATCCGGAGCGCGGATCACACATGTATGTAGATGTATGTATACATGCACATACACATATGGACAGACATACATGCATTAAAAATATGTGTTTTCGGCAAGGCTGTTGTTTGCTGCCCTGTTGTACGAGATGCTACGACTATCGCACGGAGAGTACTTATGCATGTATGCACATAAGTATTGTTACATGTGTATGTTTATCTACCCGTACTGGTACATCAAAGTGAAGGAGCATGCGCTGTACTGAAGACCGAAGCGGTGACTTTGTGCATACATCGCGGGAATGTAAACGAAAATCAGGCTCGGGCAACTACACCGAAGCCCTTTTTTTGAGCAGGGACTGCAATGCACTAAGCCCTCGAAGCCCTGAACCCTGAAAAGCTTGAGCAGGAAACACAGAGCTCAAACTGCAAGCCGAATCACTACTAAGTCACCGAAACTCTTGCTGTCTATGAAGCCGGCAACCTTTTCTGACCCGTCTTTATTCCCTAACCCCCCCAGGTACCTACTACATAGGGCCTTGTCGGCTCTAGCATCCTCTACAGTAGGGTACCTGGGGGGTTACTTAAAGGATCATGGGACTTAGAAGGTAGGGTTATAATTAGGGTAACTATACTTATAACCCCAATCAAGGGACTTATAACCTTACTTACTAAGTCCCATGACCCTCCAAGTAGGGATACATATATATATATATATATATAGTAGATACCTGGGTTGTTAGGGATTGCTTCTTCGATGTTTGGCAGACACCCGTCCGCCGTGGCCCATGCCGGCGCAGCAAGGCCGCGGCACGCTCGGCGGAGCGGCCGTAAGACCTAATGTAGGGGTTTTTTGCCTCCTAATATAAGGGTTTAGGGGTTTAGGGTTTAGGGTTTAGGGTTTAGGGTTTAGGGGCTGCCTTACCCATAGGCCCCACAGTAGTTCCCTTTTGTGGCTCATGTTTAGGATCCTATTGGGGAATCCCAAAAAAGGAACTACTATGGGGCCTATGGGTAATAATTTGAACAAGGTTTTTTGGGGGAATATTACACTGTGGAACCCTCCAAACCCTATCCTAATGATGAAGGCCCTACATTAAAGATGTCACGGAGTGTCTATAGGGTTTGCATTCGGAGGCTTTCAGGCTTAGAGGGCTTCAGGATTCAAGGCTTTAGGGCTGCTTTAGGACGAGTTCCTGTGCCCGGCATATGCTGACAAAATGGGGGACATAATAAGGGCGTATACCTCATCAACGTGTGAGTATAGTATGCAGCGTAAAGGCTGCCAATGGTTTGGCTTCGCGGCTGAAGATGCAGCTTGCAAATAATATGGGAGCCCAAATAATTTCCAACATGATTCCTTCGGCTTCCTTAAACTCTCACTAGACTATACCATAACCCTAAACCCTAAACCCTATATACTGGAAGCCAAGGCCCTATTCTAACCATTACGGCCCCTACATTATGCGGATTTCCGGGTCTGCATACTACAGGGGCCTTATAATTCTTAGAATAGTGTTTAGGGGTACAGTATACTATACTTTTAAATAGGGTTTTAGGGTAGACTCTTTTACTATAATTATGATAAGGAGCCCCCAAAACTAGTACAGGTATAGTGATTAAGGCCCCTATACTACAAATCATTGACTGAGGCGGCCACATGCCCTCGACTGGCAAGCATGGCGACGACGCTGTGGCTTTGCATGAGCCAACGGCGGAAACAAGCCACGGTCACCAGTGAATAGTTGCAGTCATAAATGCGCTGTATGTAATCATGACGGCATGGCATAGGAAGCAGTGGAGCGACAGCTTTGGGTAAGTTCAGTACTGACTGTCGCAGTGGCACCGGCACCGCTTAGACAAATCATCACATCATCATGCCAGGAACAGTAACGGTGATCGGGTTGCAATGACGACCGAAGCGACCATGACCAAATTCACGGAAAAGATGCTATGCTGTTGAGGCATACTGATCATGCTACTGATGGTGCTGGTGGTGGTGGCAATGTTCACCATTCTGATGTGGAGATTTTGGCTAGGAATCTGAAGAACAACATAACGAATGTTCGGGGCAGTTAGAAGCTAACAGACAGCTATGCATAACACCAGGTGCGGTGCTCAATTCCGTGGCCCGTTGCAGCGCNNCCCCAAAAAAAAAAAAAAAAAGGAAATCTTGCATGCTCCTGGTCTTCATCACGCTCGCCCAGTGTTGAAGCATCGATGGCATAGGGAGTGAGGCCTGGGCAGGACAAGCATATCAATGAATAGCATCGAAAAGCCACGCGCGGTCTCCAGGCTCACCCAACGTATCGCAACACATAAATGGAATGATCATCGCGCAGGTATGGAGCACACGCCTGAGAAAGTTTCGACTCCTGATGCGGTAGTATCTGATCCGCGCCGCAGCTCTTCACAGCACGACTGTACCTTCGGACTGGGCCACTAGCCTTGCAAAGAGCTCCGGAAGTTTTTCATCGGAAACGCCATCGCGCATTTTAGTTGCTAATTGCCGGGTCGGTGCAAATGTTGCATGTTGAATCACAAGCTCGGCATTCTCGTGCTCTCACGAGACGTGAATGCCGCCCTTGCGCGTCCAGGCGATGCAGATTCATCCCCAGGCTCGAAGAACCCTCAAGTTTGACCCAGCCGTCTGGCATCTTTTGGTTCCACTTCTTGCCTTGCATCCCGCAAAAAAGCTCGAATCGCTACTTGACGTCTTTTGTCAAAACCAGCAATCTAGCCCTTACCACCCCATATCCTTTTCGCGCCAATATCACAATATCACCTCCGGCCTCCCCTGCAGAAGCAGTACGCCAGCAATCTCTCCTGAGTTGTCAAGGTAACTGGTGCCGTGGGAATGTCATCCATTGCCTACCATGTGACCACTCACTTCTCTAACTGTGATCCCCAATCGGTGGCAGGTCGAGTCAACAGTAGCAGCGAAAACAGCAAGAGCACAATGTTTTTCACGGTCGCCGTCTTGGCGCTGTAGGTGCTGGTGTTGGTTCTGGTAGTGGCAGTGGTACTGGCAAGAGCAGGAAGCAGAAATACTACACTTTCACTACACGCAACTGCCTCGGCAAAGTTGCAGCAATTTTGTATCTGCACTGCTGTGATGAGAGTGATGGACCGTGCATGATATGGCTGAGATGGGTTTGAGTTTCGACTCTCACTCTCGCACGCAGCGGGAGTGAGTTTAGGGTGACTCCTCGTGTTGATACTACAGCACACCGTCTCGCAACACAAGCGAAAAGCATGATTGAAAGCAGTAGTAGTGAAACTTACAGGAGAATCAGGTGAGAATGGACAGTGACAGTGGAACTCTCAGTGGCAATGATGTTGGAACTGGCTGCGCACTGCAGAATCATTGGTGCTGAACAACCTAAAATACAACCGCCGGAACAGCGCTGGCTTGCCGGCTGAAGTCAAACTCTTAGGGGGCTATGCCCTGCAGTCAAGTAATTACACGATTGCTGAGTCTTGCAAGTCGGGTCTCAGAAAACCGTCTGCCCCGAGACTCAAGCGTGGCCACACAGTCACCAAACAACACCATGCACGAACTGGCATTGCGAGCTCTTCTTCAGCTTCCCGGGCATATTAGGGGTCCAAGCCGACTATTTCAATCAAGAGGCCATCAATGGCCAACCTCTTCGATCAAAGTCCGGCGTGCGCCAGGCCAGGATTTCCGTGCAAGCCGAAATGAACAGCCTCAGCCCGAGCACGGGACGGTCACGTCCATAATGCACCGGCGCATTGTGTAGTCTTAGCCACTCCGTTGGGCCATCAACCCAGCAAGTTAGGGGCTTAAGTCGGATTATAGGGTTTGCCGTGGAATAGCATGGAGGCGAAAGTACCTTGTGATGAGGTCGTGTGGAGTACGTCGTACTGTGGCGATGAGCTGTTACAGCCTAATAGGTCATAAGAGCGGGCAACAAAAACACAAGAGCATGTCTACCCCAATAGATGAGGTGTTGCAAAGAAGCAATCTGTGCTTCGTGATGATGGCAGGAGCCTGAGAGAGAAATTGCACACAACCGCGCAAACAAACTCAAACCTCAAACGTAAACCTGAACCCCGAACTTCTAGCCTTCGAGATTCTTCGAGACAAGCAGCGGGAGAGCAGCCAGAGCCGTGGTTGCCTGGCGGTATAGCGACACTGTTGGAGGTGTTAGGGTGGCAGAGGATCAAAGGGTACGTGTAACTTGTTGTGGATGCACTTAGTTCAGTACAGCAGCAAAGTGACGAGGAAAGGCATGAAGACATGCATTATCTTAGACTCATAGACGTCCTGAAAACACACACACACACAGACACACACACACACACACAACGACCACACGAACCAACTACGAACATCAGCAAACACGGCGGCACATGAAATATGGCGCCTTGAAGAGAACCTGGTACAGGCTTACACGTGCTTGGTGAACATGCCGGAACGCTCGACATAGATTTTCGTAGCTGTGCGACTAGATGCATGCATACATATGGCCTATACATGTACATGTACAGCCACACCTTCGCATTGACATAAACATACACGTGCATACACATACATAGGGTTTGCATACATGCATACGTACATAGTACATACATACCAAACTTGCTCATTTTGTTTTACTTCATGTTGTTTTACGCTACTTTCCTTTACTTACACACTTGCGGTATTGATGCGCTGATGTACACAACTTACCATAGGAGGAACACGTTGTTAACAACTAAAAGCTTACAGACCTGGTAAGTTACTTACTTGCTCACTTGCTCATCCGCAGACGTGTGTAAACAAATGGTATGGCTGCAT